TAAAATCGTAAGTAGAAAAGCCCCCTCCAAGACTTAGGATGAACCATAGATAACCCAGTACTTAGTAAGCAAGTGTAATTACAGACTTATTAACATCAATTTTGACTTTTTTAATGATCACAAAAAATCTATGTCCAATCTTTTTCTTTTTCTAACTCTTTCGAAAGGATCTTCATAATTTTGTAAAAGTAGTCTTGAAAAAGATTACGCTTATCTGATCTCACGAACGATGTACTTCTTATTCTTACAGAGTCTAGACTTTATATCAGTGATTCTCAATCTGCTTCACATACCCCCTGGAAATGTGTATGTAACTTATGTACCACTTGTTTAAATGGATAAAATTATAGTTATAGTATAACAATGAAAATAAAATAAAACACACATACATTAAATTTTGTATTTAATGTAACTCCCAAAAGTTTTACAGCGTAATCCATGCTGAAAACCCCTACTTTAAACCGTAGACATGTCTAACAAACAAACACGTCTGATATGATCAAAGACAAGTGCGACAAACGTAAAAGAAAAAGAAGTAAATGTGGCACACCAATTTGCGATGTAAATACTATCAGATTATTTTTCCTACTTTTCTTTTATTTCTTATGAATTTGATCGGGGATAGTACTAGACTATACTAAATTCGTTTCTCCAAAAATGTATACAATCGAGAAACGAAGGATTTGGTACACGTTCGGATCCTTGAGGGTTTAGAGATTCGATGCATTTACTAAAGTAACCACCCACGAGCTATACTCCCTATGGATGCGTTTTAATCGGTAGAGTTTCACCGTTATACAATATAATATTACACGTCGAATATTGACCGACTGATACCGTTAGGATTTCATGGAAAGTGCACACGACATATCAGCACGAACTGCTCTCACGATACCCATCTCTTCTGACTAAGGTGAAAGGATAAAGTCAATGAGAGAAAGAGAAGAAATGAGGTGGGGAACTTCGTTCGCAAAAAATAAAATAGGTACAGTATATATTATACATTGACCGCGTTTGTTAGTAAATTTTATTCAAATAAACATACTAACAAATCCATATGTATGTATGTCTGCGTGTCTACGTGTATTATTTTTATTGCGATCGGATAATGTCGTCTGTAGAGGAGAAGAGAAAAAGGAAAAGCAACGAGACGTCAAGTGAAAGTCGAGTGAATTAGATCTTTCGACGCGAGACTTGTGGTAACACTGGATGAAAAGTTTCGGATAAAAGTCGACAGTAAAAGATTGTAGAGTAACAACGAATCGAAGTGGATCGTTTAAAGAAAACTTTCGACAAATCTTTTCCTTTCTTTCTTTCTTTCTTTTCGAACGTTCAATATTCCTTCTTTTGTCTATCTATACCCGATTTAACAGAAAACAGCTTGACTACTAACTAAAAGCATTTATTAATTCAGTCGGCGAACACGATTCAACGATAAGAGTAGATATTCTAAACGCGATTTAGAAAGTTTATAAAGCGTAAAGCGATAATCGCAAGATCAAAGCCGTACACTTCTCTGCTGTTTCTCTTTGAATATGAAATTTTACTGGTGAAATACATAAATTGCTAAAGCTTTAAAGCGATAATTGAAATGTTTATGGTAACATGAACAGACTAAAAAATATTGAAAAGCTTGCTTTTCAATCAATTTATTCGGAATTCTCTCCCCCTCTCCCCTATCTATCTAGCTGTCTTTTTCTATCTCTTTATCGAGTCAGAACGTTTCGTTACAGCTGCTTTATACCACGGGAAGATACACACCGTGCGCGTTACGTGAATAACCATGCGCTCGTTCATAACGAAGCGGAAAGTGGTTTAGAAAGCGGACGGAACGTGTAAAAGTTTATGGTGGCTAGCAAGTAATCCAACTTATTTTCCGTTTGTACGGCTCAATGTACAGGATAAAGGATTTTGTCTATGAAATTACAAATTTGAATAAATTCAAGCTCTTGAAGAAGAAACAAATAAGAATTGTCCTAAATTTCTTAATGAAATATTTTGTAAAAGCATTCACTTTTCTAAATCACGAATATATCCTCCTACTATTCCCACGTGCAATTCTCGTAGAATTCTAACTTGAAGAACATAAATTGTTACCAAGAATATATCAAAGGGAGAGAAAGAGAAAAGAAATAAAAGGAGGAAGGGAGAGAAGGAGGGGCGGGGAGGGGGAGAGGGGGAGAGACGATTCGCTAGAATGCGGATCGCGAGGCGATAGAACTGCAAACAATGCCGACGATACTGTGCGCGCGAATAGACATTGGCTAACATTATTGACGTTAAACTCGTTCGATCACGAAACGATTAACATGAGAGGAAAAGCAATGTGCCGCGAAACGTTCAGCACAAATACTTTCTGCTATCCGATACGGAATCTTGCATCTCGATCGGAGAATTAATATCGCTGCAAAATGCAGGTCGCTTGATTCGCCGCGTTAGGTAATCTTTAGCTCAGCAAGATTGCTCAACGACTTTGAGAATTAAAGTGACGCTCGTTTCATGTTTGTAAATTAGATTTTTCAAAAAAGAAAAAAAAAGAGAGAGAGAGAGATGGAAGAGAGAGAGAGAGAGAGAGAGAGAGAGAGAGAGAGAGAGAGAGAGAGAAAGAGAGAGAGAGAGAGAGAGAAAGAGAGAGATTATCTCATAAATGCTTTCTTTGTATTATCATTTGATAGTTTGCAACTTCTAATTTAACATTTTTACATCAATAATATTTTTTAATATTACCAAGTATTTTACGATAAAATAAATGTCCTTTCCGCGAACGCGATAAAGAAGAACCATATGTCTTATCTCGCTCGTGAAATCTGCATTGTCGAAGCGAAAGAAAAACGGTGCAGTAGTTGTTGTCGTCGTCGTCATCGTCGTCGTCCGTTCGGTCGGTCAAGGCAATGTAAATGTTTCGTGTACATACGTACGCTCCATAGCTCGCACGGAAACGTTAGTCAATGATAAAGTTTTCTACTATAAATGTTCAAATGAAGGTTAAGAAACAAAGAGCATTATAAAAGTACAGATAGCAATATGAAAGGTGCTAATGACTACGTAGAATTAAAAAAAGAAAAAAACCATTGAAGGATGAAACAAAATTATATCTTTTATAGACAGAATATGGTTTTCAATACTCCATAAATGATAAGATCCATTATCATAGTTTGGGAAGATAGTTTTCAAATGTATCATCGATAAGTAAACTACGTTGTAATAAAAAAAAGATTCATAAGAAATAACGTAATGTCATAAGGGACAAACTTATAAATTAGCTATTCTGTTTTTCTTCGTGTATTCATGTGTTTTCAAGCGTATTATAAACTGTACAGTTAATGTAAATAATAGTATATTAAGAATTGAAAATATAAATATATTGTTATTAATAACATAGAACAAAATGACTAGTTAAAGTTTTTATCAAACACAGAATCATAAAAGATGATTGTTATTTATTTTACTTTTATAAAGTACGACAAATTGAATATTAATTGTAAATGCGGCACTCGTTGTTTATGTCTATGACTATTTAAACAGATGCAATAAAGTATTATAAAATGTGACTAAACAGTTTTGTATATTGATAAAAATAATGGAGAAAACGAATTGTTAGATAAAAAGTTACGATTATGGTACCGAAGAAAGTATGTTTACGAGTTGAGCCAAACAAAACATGAAGGAAAGACCGTGATATATGCATTTAAAGATAAGTAAAGGAAACATAACCAAAAAATCGGAATTTATTGTTTTTTAACATATCGGTCTGAATTTAGTGGCTTACAATCTTTATAAATAGATAAACGAAAATGGACTAAATATAAATCGCATAACATAAGCGACATGAAGTTTACTCACCTTAAAATAGCCTCCTTGATAAAGCGTGTCTGGAGGACCGAAGATCGCGACTTCCCACTCGAACATGTTGTCCTCGTTAACGAGCTTCACGCGAAAACCTTCGACAGGTTCTTCCTGAAGGCTTTTGTATTCGAGGGCAAGGGCCCGTAACGCGCTGCTTGTTGGTTGTGCCATATTTTTCGACTCTGGAATCACAACCGCAGTCCGTTCCAGAAAGACGAAAGTCTCGAAAGCTTCCCAGAGTGGTCGCCAGAACAGCGACGTAATCGGACCGACTGCCTTTGCGAACTCACAACTCCGTTCTCTCAGAGAATCAATTCGACCGACGGGTTCAGACCGAACGATAAAATTGCGAGGTGTTCCTTTACCAGTAACGCCTTTTTACCTAGCTCGATCCTACTCCCGAAAATATTTCACTTACTAACAAAGTGCCTGCTATGTTCGATACTGATTTCTAATTCGCGGCAAATAAACAAAGGAATATGATCGAATCTACGAACTGCGAAATGCCCCTGCAGTCAACAATACACCATTCCCAACACACGCACTACGGCTCTAACAAAACAGCTGACGTACCTTCTGCGTCAGCGTCGTTCCTATCCTGCGCATGCGTCCTATTGAGAACTACAAAAATGGCGCAGATCTTTGTTTTCTATATCTTCTTGATCGACGATATTTCTATTTTTCTCTATACCTTTCTTGTCTTTCTATTTCTTGTTTTTCTTTATTGATTTGTTCTTTTAGCTGTTACATCAAATTAACTTTACTCCTAAATATCAGTCATTTTTTCTTCGTGGTTATGACATTTATTTAGGCGAGTCTTAATGTAGCGCATCTCGAACAGCAATCACCAATAAAAATTTTGCTTTCGAAAAACAACATTTTCAACCAATGAAAAAATCCAATCGTTCGTTTAGTTAATCAAAAGAATGAATATTTTACATAAAACATTTAAAATAACGACAGGAAATACGAAAATATTTTAATCAATTTTTGGAAAGAAAAATTTCTTGTTTCTTTCTTCGATGTAAAATAAATAAATAGAATTATTGACTGTACTTAATAATATTGTTTTCATTAGGTACATAGTAAAATAGATTAATTCCTAGATACTTGAATTCATACATGCTAGTGGAAAATTCTAGAGATAATATTTATATTAATAAACGAACATGATTCTACTATAATCTCATGTTCACATCCGTTGTGTACAGAACAGGTTGTACAGAAAGTATTGTATTGTTTTAAAAAATATTTGTTAAATAGTATAAAGTAAGTATTTAAATATGGCTGCAATAAATACAGAAATTATGAAAGTATTTGGATTTTGGAGTAGTGTGTTAGTTTTAAAAATGCTTGCAATGGTAATTCTAACTGCACGTTATAGATTTACAAAAAAGGTACTATACAATGATTGTGCATTTAATAACTAATTTTATCATTTCAATATAACACTTTTTTTTTTCCATCATCCATTTTGTTAATATTAATATTATTATAATGAATACTAGAGAAACTAATTAAATTTTATTTATTTTTAAGATTTTTGCAAATTCTGAAGATATATTTTCAAAAAAATGTAAAGTGGTTTATGATGATCCAGATATAGAACGTGTGCGTAGAAATCATCTCAATGATCTTGAAAATGTCCTTCCTTGGTTTATAATCACTTATATTTGGCTAACAACAGGACCATCTATTTGGTTGGCTGGAATTTTAATCAAAACTTTTGTAATTTCTAGAATTATACATACTTTAGTTTATGCTGTTTTTCCACAGCAACCTGCTAGATTTTTGTCCTTCTTCTTTGGTTATTGTATTATGGGCTATGAAGCTTTTGCTTCTTTATTATATTATTTGTAAGTTGTTTAAAATGAAACTTACATGAATGGAAAAATTCTATGCTTTCTTTTATACTTAAAGTATACTTTATTAAATATTATATCAGTTATACATATATAATTTTTATAGATATAGTTGTGGGATATTTTGTAATTGTTATGATATAGATAATTTATATTTCTATAATTGTGATAAAGGTTTATGTATTTTTTTATTATTAATGTATTATTATTTTTAAATTAGTTAAATAAATCTTATAGAATGATTCAAACAACCTGAAAATTATTGTTTTAATTATAAAATAAAAATAAAAAAGATTGCAACTTCACCCAACTTTATGTATTTTTTTATTATTAATGTATTATTATCTTTAAATTAGTTAAATAAATCTTATAGAATGATTCAAACAACCTGAAAATTATTGTTTCAATTATAAAATAAAAATAAAAAAGATTGCAACTTCACCCAACTTTTTTTTATTATAATTCCATATAGTGTCGCTATAATATCGCCCTTTATATAATTTCGTGAACATAGTATAGAGTCGCCCTCTATCACTTGAGAGCAAATGAAGACGCTACCATTAGAAATTATTGTAGTTGTTGCCGGTTCCTATATTTGTGCGTTTGTCAGTTGTTTCATTTGAACACATTTTAGTTATGGATTATTTAAACTATTTCAATTTGATATTATAATTAAAATCAAAATGAATCGACATCCAAATACAGATTACAAAAGCCGTGGGGAACCACAAGTAGAATTAGAAAGTCAATTTATTTTAAGACTGCCAGTAGTAAGTTTTATTCTGCTTTTTAACCTAAAAATATGCTACTTAATAATATGTTATTTAAATATGCTATTTAATTGATTATTAGCAAATTCTTTAAGAAATTATTATAAAATACATATACACGCATACATATATATGATAAATTTTAGGATTCAGCGAAAGTCTTAAGAGAAACATTAAGAAGTGGAGCTCCCTTAAAAGATAGACTTAATATAAAATTAGAAAATGATATGCGATATGGCGAAGTAAGATTAGATCATTGGTTGTTACATGCTAAGGTATTTAATATTTCTTAATTATTACTCCAAAAGGTATAAAGTAAAATTCTCCTCTCCATAATTCTTAAGAAAAAAATAATTCTTCATTTTTTATTTTTTTGTCTTTTTTAGGTAGTTGATTTGCCTACTATTGTAGAATCTTTAAAAACAATCGATAATAAAAGCTTTTATAAAACAGCGGACATATGTCAGGTAATATGATATCTTATAATAATATTAAGCGAATAAAATTTACAAACAATGAATTCATATTATTGTTATTATAAACAGATGTTGATATGCAAAGAGGAGGATGATCATACTACTACAGATGAGGAATCACCTATGAGGCAAAAGAAAAAAGACCCAAACAAGGTTGATAAAAAATTTTTATGGCCACATGGTGTAACTCCACCTACAAAGAATGTAAGGCGTAGGAGATTCAGGAAAACATTAAAAAAAAAATATGTAGAAGCACCAGAAATAGAAAAAGAAGTAAAAAGGTTGTTAAGAGTTGATAATGATGCTGTCAATGTAAAATGGGAAGTAATATGCGAAGATGAGGATCAATCGAAACCAAGTAAAGTATCATCTTCTGGAACAGTCAAATCTAGAAGGGATAATATTAGCGGTAACACATCACAAAGTTTAGATGTTGGTAAGTATTCTATTTAATTTAACCAATTTTATTCTATTTAATCAATTTAGTTATATTATGTGATTACTTTACTTATAGCTGAACATGATATATTTGGTGAACCTGTGAGTGACAGCGAAGATGATGATGAAGAAGCAAATATAAATGTTATGGAACTTGATGAAAATAGCAGATTATCTGGTGATAGTAGAGCATCCGACTCTAATTCCATGCAGGCTGCTTATTCAGAGCGATCAAGTAATAATGTAACTACGAGTTGTGGTCTTGTAACGGAATTTAGCAAGGAAATGTTCCAAAATGAGAACAACTCTGAGGTAGATGGAGAAAAACCGACAGATACAGCAGAATCAAAAGTACCAAAATTAGAACAGTTTCATTCAGAATATATTATTCCTGATCATTTTTCAGAATCACCATCTATTTCTACGCCTAAAGGTAATTATATTAAATTTATGTTATACATATGGAAATAAGCTGATTTATGTATTATTTCAGATTCATTGCAAACGAGACTTGCCACACTTCATGCTGAATTAGCAGAGTTGCGCCAACGAAGGCAGCAGCAAGAGATTGAAATTGCAAATATTGAAAATGTTAAACTTAGACAAAGATTTCAAGAAATTTTGGATAATTTATTAACTCAAGAGATGCAGAAGGTGCAAGAGGTAATTAATAATATTGTTCATAGTGTTTATATTATAGTGTTTATATTATAAATAGACTACTATTTTATTTTTTTATATTTGATGAGATACAGAGGTTTCTTTTTTCAAAGAATAGTTCTAGTATCTGCTTAATTTTTTTTTAACTTAAAATAATCGTTTTGAATAATCATTTATAACTTAATATATTATACTAACTTTCAGATTCAAGATTTGGAATTGGAATAAAATTAAACTACTTCTATAATATCATCATTCATTAAGTTGTGATAAACAAAATTGAACAATTATTAAATATTGAGGATTCCTAAATAGTATTAGTTAGAGGATATGTTGTATGTAAATAATATAAATCGAAAATAGAAAAAATGAACTGTTGTTATTATAATAATAAATAAAAATCATTATGAAGATAAGTATTTTCTGCCATATAACTGTGCCTTCTTCTCGAAACCAACAGATTTGATAGGTGTATTTAGTTTATAAAAAGGATTCATGGAATACTGAAACAAATAACGATTTTACAATCTTATAAAAGATTGTTAAAAACACAAATATTACCTTAATGTACGTCTCATACATTTCATTAAAGAAATTTTTTATTCCATCTTCGTTTTTACTATCGTGTACCATAACAAATCGTATATGAGTCGCTGTTACAAAAGCGCTTACGAACCATTGATTAAATTTATCTACAACTTTAAAATGCATATTTGTTGTTTTCCATGTATGTTCATCTACAAGATCAAGTGCAGCATGAGCTATAAATTGGCTCAAATGTGTGTGATCTTCTTTCTATTATAACAGTGAGTTAATTAAATAAAATATTTTTCTGTCATGATATGTAGTTTAAAAAATGTAAATCTATTAGGATAATAAACAAACCTTTGCATCTTTACTAGAATTATTAAATTCTATTTCAAATAATGGGTTATCAGCATGTCCAACAATAGCAAAATAATAATTTGCTGCCATAATTTATTCTTTTATTTACATTTATAATCTTAATATTCTTTTTTGCAATCTTTTTGTATTCAATATCTTGTATGTATTTAGTCAAATAGTAAAAGATATCAAAAAATATTCTATCATATTATATTATAAATATTATATTATAATATAAAGAGTAGAGTATAGAGCGAATAAAAATCGAAACAAATCACTTAGGAAAAATTAAGATAACATCAGCTGAATGTCAATGAAGAAATATCACTGAGAAACTGAAGGTAACCGATTGATACAGCGCCCTCACTTTCACGAACTAAATGGTTTCATTTTTGTGACCTAAATTGTTCGTACGAATTCACATCCAGAATATTCGTTGCTAAAACTTGCTACTGTATTCTGACAGAAGTCAAAAATTAAAAATTAAAAATTAAAAATTTAATATTTATAATTATAAATTTCTTTGATATAAGCAATATTAAAATAAAAACTTGAAATAAATTATATAAGAAAAGAATATATGATTTTTCATAATTTTTGTTATCCTACAAATTAACCAATTATTATTTAATTCATTTATCACGATTACGTTTTTCTCTTGTTTTTATTCATTTATATCAATTACTTGATTCAAAATGTATAAATATATGTCTTATGTAAAATTCTCTTCGTGATTAAAAATCATAATTAAATAAGTATAAAAAAAAAGATGAAGATCTAATTTGAAATTGAGGTGTAATCGTAAATAGGTAAAACTAGAAAATCGTTCTTTTGCCGATTAAAAATCGTCTATCATGATTCAGAAGGGTGCGCTTGTATCGTGTATTCACGCTTGTATCGTGAATACACACTTGTATCGCATATTCACGCTTGTATCGCGTATACACACTTGTACTACATATTCATGTTTATATCATATATACACGTTTATATCGTGTATCGTAATCCTTCATTTTTCGGTACAACACGATCATTGCCAATTGTCGATTTGTTCTCGTACAAAATATTCGCAACGGACAGCTTGTCTCGTCTCTTCAAAAGTAACGGTATAACATACATACGTATATGTATATGAACATGTACATATATACACATATATTGTATATTTGAGCTTTCTCGTCGATCTGTGCCATTGAAACCGAAGTTCGAGAGAGACGAACGATCTTCGTCCGGTTTATGCGAAATATTGAACGAAGTATTGGAGAAGGCATAATATCTAGTTAGCTAAAAAGTTACAAAGTTGTGAGTTATGGGGTTCGATGTGAACCGATTTCAAGGAGATGTGGACGAAGAACTCGTCTGTCCGATTTGCTCCGGTGTTCTTGAGGATCCCGTCCAGGTATTGTCAGAATTTCTCTTATAAATTCCTTTTATATCTTCATGAAATGTATTTAATTGCGAACTGCCAAGACTAACCTCGCTTTTTATGTACATTTATTTATTTATTCACGTTCTAACATTATATTTTGTTTGTTGTATTTATTAATTGAGTAAACCATTATTAATTGTCTTTTTGTTTCATTCAGTTAATTTAACTTGTGAATAACTTTCCGGCCCTTCTTTTTCTTTTTACTTCTTTTTTTATTTTTTTATTTTTTTATTTTTTTATTTTTTTTTAATTATTCTGATGGTGATAAAATATAACTCTCTTCGTAAACAATTATTATTTTATATACTGTTTCCAATGAAAAAATAGCAGTTTTGCAGTATAGTTTTATAGGCTTATGAGGACTGGCAGGTGAGGAATATGTTACAGGCTCCTGTATGTGAACATGCTTTCTGTCGTTCATGTATCAACGAATGGATAAACAGACAACCGACTTGCCCTTTGGATCGTACTCCCATTACCTCTGCACAATTGAGAGCAGTTCCAAGAATTCTACGAAATTTATTGGCTCGCTTATGTATCAGTTGCGATAACATTATGTATGGATGTCAAGTAAGCATCAAGTTGGACAGTTTAGTATCACATTTGGAACAGTGTGAATATAATCCCAAAAGACCAATGTTATGTGAACAAGGTTGTAGTCTCATCATTCCGAAAGATGAGTTAAAAGATCACAATTGTGTAAGAGAACTTAGAAATTTAATACAGTCTCAGCAGCAAAAACTAACTGATATGAAAAGAGAGTTAGGCGAACAACAACTTCAAATAAATGAACATAAGCGAGAAATACACTTATTAAAAGATTTTATGAGAGCATTGAGAGTATCGAATCCTGCAATGAGAGCTATTGCCGATCAAATGGAAAGAGACGAAGTTGTTAGATGGTCTGCAACTCTTCCTCGTGCTAGAGTTACTAGATGGGGGGGAATGATCTCAACGCCAGATGAATCATTGCAGGTATTCTATTTTATTATATTATAACTGACACAGGAATCACCTGAATCACTTTCTGATATGCAGTTCTTTAAGACATATTATATATTTTATAGATAATGGTCAAAAGAACATTGTCCGAAAATAATTGTCCACCTCACATCATTGATGAACTAATGGAAAATTGTCATGAAAGAAAATGGCCATCAGGTTTAAATTCTCTGGAAACTAGACAAAATTCAAGAAGACAATATGAATATTACATATGCAAGAGAGTGCCCGGAAAGCAAGCTGTTTTAGTCCTCCATTGCGATAATACGCACATGCCAGAAGATATGATTATTGAGCCTGGTTTAGTGATGATTTTTGCCCATGGTATTGAATAAATAAATATATGAAGAGCCATCAAATATCATGGTGCTTTTAGGAAGAAAAATGAACTTCAACAAGTTGAGTGTATCTACTTGATGTTTGCTATGATTTCCCAATGATGCATACAAATTAGCTTTATGCATGTGTGCACATTTTAAGAGGTTTGGGTGTATTAACGTCTCTCACAAACTGCAGTTTGCAGAAATAGTAAAAAACGATTAATACATAACTTTTGTGATACGTGATTGTACAGACACAATTGCCACATACAAAATCTAATTAAATGTCTGATTGTTATACTGTGATATGATATATTAATTTGTTGGAAAAGTTCCTGAGATTATTTGATGAATAGCAAACGATTCCAAATTTATTATTATAATCAATTGTTTATTTTTTAAAGTAAAATATTTTTAATTCATTTGTAATGGATTATTTATCATCTATTTCAGGAAATTTTTTTAATATTTTAGGCTTTTTTAAGTGATTTATTATGATAATTTTAAAAAATTGTAAAAAATAATGAATAGATTATAACGATATAATATTTACTATTGATAAGCGCTCAATGTGTTCTTAAGAAACAAGAAACGATCTCTGAATATACAATGTACACATCGGTCTTGTAAATTATTGTAAAATCATTGCTAATGATTATGACATGATCAGGACATTATGCAGTATTAGATAACTAAACAGTGGTTTAATGCTTTTCAGCATCTTTAACGCTGCTTTGTATAATCATATGCACAAAAAACTAATTTGTTTAAAATTTCATATAAGTAATTTCATTTTATCTCATACATGAAATTCATGATGCATAAAATCTTATCAATTTTTCTTGGCTCTCATTAATAGCAAACTGTAAAATAAAGCGATAGTAATCTTATAACTGTTCTTACAATTAGACAAATAATCTTTAATTGTTTTTTTAATTAATCAATGTTACAGATTATTATATCTAATTTATAGGCATGAATGACTGATCAGAGATAAACTATTGTAATTTTATATTCACCAAGAATGCAACAGAAAATGGATAAAGAAAGTTAATAAACATGATTTTTTAAATAACAATTCATTTCTTTATATATTAAATCCCAATAGATTATATTTCTAAAATATAGTTTACATATATGTATGTATATATGAATATGTCAGGATAGTTTCATTAAATATATAAACTTCCATAAAATGCATGCAAGGAATGTAATATTTTCTTATAATATTAAAAATATATAATATTTTTTACTTTTAAAGAAAAATAATCTTTTAACCCAAAATTTCATATATTTTCGAAAAGAAAACGTCCAATGTTTTATTCCATGCTTCTTCTACTTCCAATGTGAACTGTTTTCCTAAAGCTTCTCGAAGAACTTCCGCTACTACCGGTTTTAAATCCTGGACAATCAAAATAATAATTATATAAATATGAAAAAAATCGCGATTTTGTTTTTATTAATAACATAATTTTATAATAAACATAATCGTATATACCTCAAACGATTTTACAGTCTGACCACGTTTCCTATGTCTTTCCGTAAAAATAGTTACGTTTTCTACTAATAGATCAAAATCTTGTAAAGAATCAATGACGGTACTTATTGTAGCTATTATACCTGCGCAATGAGCTTGAAATTTTTTATTGTTATTTAGTTGATCTATTGGCATATTTTTAAATGCTGGGAAACTTTGCTGATGTTCCGGAAATTTCTTGAAATAGCTGCAAGCAAAAAATAATACGCAATAAATTTGCATTCGAATTCGATAAAGTTCATTAAAAAGCGCGTCGGGGTAAAATTTTTTATTCCATATTGCAAATTGAATTTTATTATAATTCTATTATTTTACAGATTAATATTTATCACATTGTTCGTGCATGTATATGGTATAGGCATCGATCGATACGTAGGTATTGATCACTGATAAGATAGTCTCCTTGCGTTCATGAAAAATTACAAACGTGCTTTGCTTCCTGATGTTCTTTTTATTAATTTATAATCGCAGCAAAACGCGTGCAGTGTATTAATTCTAAAGACGTTAACTATATTGTGAATAAAGATTATTGCAGGTGGTGATCTGTCTAAGAATATGTCAATTCTAATTATATATAGGATCCATAATTTATTTAGTTACTCATTATTTTCGATTGATTTTCATTCTTTTGTCTACGTAATATTTATCTTAGATTAATGATAAGAAAAATTCGTGATAAGTTAAAATATCTCGATAAGCTAAGAAGTATTTATAAAACATTTTGAACTTTGATATTTTTCAGAATAATTGCGCAACTGAAGATATTGAATTTGCAATTCAAATAATATATGCTTTATATCTTTATAATGCTATTTAATATTTACTATCATAAATTTGCCGTATAATTTCAAATGGTAATACATTAATCAAGCGTATGCATGTAGGTGGGTTAAAATCGATTTTCTTGTCAAATTAGTCTTATTACTTATTAGTCTTATTAGTCTTAAACTTATTAGTCAGACATAATAAAATCATATATTTGTTAAAGCGCGGCGAATATTTGATTGATTTATTGATACATTTATTAACAACAAGCAATAACAAAATTTTGAAAAAAAAGTACAAATAAAAAATGTTTAAATATACTTTATACATAGCTTATTCTTCTCTCAATAAGCAATTGCATATTATCATTACTATAAATTTATATAAAAATAATAACTTCTCAATTTTGTTTAACTTTTTAAATCATACGTGAATTATATTTGAATATTGAAATATAACAAAGTGGAAAAAATTACTTACGCCAACATTATAGCACAGCCGGATGCAACTTGATCTTTCTTTATAATAGCCCACGTATTCTGTACAAGTTTTTTTTGTCTTTCTGTGAGTCCTGTAGCTTCGTCAATTTTAGAATCATTTGTCCAAAATCCGAAAAAACGATTAAATGTTGCCATCATTTTATATATAGGATTTATAAAAGAATATTACAATTTTTCATATAAAAAATTTTGTTTATATGTATTTTCTTTTTTTTTCTTTTTTTTTTTTTAATCAAAACGAATCGTTCGATTAAAACTATAATTTCATATAAAAAATTTGCATGAATTTGTTCTCTATGATTTCTATCAAAATATAATATTTAATAAAATGATTTAAAAAATAAAAATGGAAGTTTCGCGCAGCTACAATCTATCGATCGACGATCTGTATGTAACTACTCCGTATCAAAGATAGCAACAGACTAAACGCTTCATTCGGATCACACTAGTCTTTATATAATTTTCTATGATACATCACGTGCCACACGACGGCGTACTTTCATTCAATTCGCTTGATCTCTAAAATGGCTAAGCTACAAGATACACGTTCTTTCGTTATAAATAGATAATACTTTTTCGTATAGACCCTTTCAATTGTGTCTCGTCTTTTAACGTATCACCGGTTATTTCCTTACTTCTCACAAGGTTGTCGTACTATTCCCACCAACAAAGTCCTGTATTTTCGTTTTATGTCTTATGTACTTATCTATGCTTTTTTTTCTCTCTCTTTTTCTCTCTTTCTATCTTTCTCTCTCATTCTCCTTCATTGCATTTAGAACGATGTAACAAATTAATACATATAACGAGATAGAACAATTAACACGTTTAGAGAAATTATTGTAATTACATTAAGAATAATATACACTTGAATGAACTAACAAAATAAGATATTATTTTTGACATATAGAAAGTGCATACGTATCTATTCCTATATTTGATCACATAACTCAGCGATATTTACAATAACGTTGTTTACTTGACTAATACATTAGTCCAAAGAGAGTCTAGTCGTTTAATTTAAATTGCGAATTTTTTAGTAACGCTACTACGCTTTTATGAAATAAAATTTCATGCTATAGACTTTTTCAAAATCTATCTACTAGAATACATGAACTTACCTTTTTATTCTTATTACATATTTTATCCAATTCCTGCAGTTTTTCACAATATTTCTTTATCAAATATATTATCTTATTGAGTAGACAATCAAAACAATTTATTTGAATCGTAATGCTATTATTATATTAGGTAATTCTTCTATAAAAATTTTTAATAAATCAGCCATGAAATTTTGAAAATAATATCTTTATTTACTTAATATGTTTAATTTGGTATTAAATAAATTTAGTTTTATACGTTTAATTTTGTTTTTGATATAGCTAGTATTTAATAGTAAATGTAAACTTCAAACTCTCTTGCAATCAATGTCATATCTTTATGAATTATTGCAATATATGATAATAGATATTCACTTTGTAAAAGTATATTATAATAATTCATAAGCAGAGTATTTATGATAATACATTTAATTGCAAATTTTTGTTTAACCTTTGATTTTTGCACAAAATCTGGAATTATTTGTTTTACAAAATATTTGGCACATTGAGGATGATTATGAAATAACCTCTGAATGTTATAATTAATTAAACTAACATAAGCTATATTATTTACCTTAATGAAATACAAAATATTTACACAGTACAAAAAGCGGAACTATAAAATATATCAGTATCCACTATTTTCTAAATTCTTTTTAAAACTTTTATATCTTTATATCTTATTTGTTCAATTACTTCTCTTCTGTTTATTACTTTATTATATATTATGTTATTTTATTATATACTAAGACAGTCATTTATCTTTAAAACGAAGTAGATATCAAATGACAAAGATTTTAAAACTTCTCAAATACCTATAAATATGGAAAACACTGAATCTTTCCATTTCTAGAAAATATAGTAGTTTTTTTGTTTAATGATATCAATTAAAATTAGAATTTTTCTTAATGCTTAGTGTTTATATATTTTTATTTAAAAATAAATAGCAATATTATTTTACTTTTTATTTCATTTATTTGCCATGTGAATAATTATATCTTTATTACATTAATATAAATTCTTATTATATATATAAGTACAAAATATGTAAGATCTTTACTTATTTCTTATGTAATATGGATTTTTTTGGAAAACAAAGCATATTCTATTATCCAGAAGATAGAAGAACATCAATCATAGTTTATGATTTAATATTCATAATCTATGCTTTAATCTTTGTCAGTGTATTAGCGTATTGAAATTCAAAACTGTTTTCATATTCACACATATCTAGAGCAATGACACAACTTTCTCTCACAACCTGCTTACTATCTTGAAGATATTGATTTAAAATTTGGAGACAATCAGGAGTAGCAATAGCTCCTAATGCTTCTGCACATTCATGACGTACCATTTCATTTTCTTCTATATCTTCAAGAGAAGCTTGTAAATAAGGTATAGAAATCTCTTCTTGGAGTTGACCAAGAACAAATGCAATTTCATGTCTAAATAAGGCACTACCTGCTTTTAATCCTACAGAGAAAAATTATAATATATTTATTAAAAACAGTTATATGATAAACATGTATTAAATATTTATTCCTGTTTACCTTCACTAAGAGCAAGGATGCTTTCTTGTGATCGTAAATTTCTTAAAGCAAACATTGCACGATATCTATCAAATAATGATTTATTTTCATCTAGTAATGTTTTCTTTAGATTATGAATATCAGTGATTTCTGCTGGTGGAGCAGGATCAATAGACATATATGGACTTTTTAATAAATTTTCTTGACAATCATTTGATTGTAACCATTTTAAGCGTTTCAAGGCTAATTCACATGTTTCTGCAATTTCGGGTATAAGACTTTTACTATACTGATCTAATAATGGTATAACTGACATGTCTCCAATAGCACCCAATGCTTCTCCTGATTAAAAGACCAAAAAATTAAAGAACAGTTATCATGTTTTTATGAGTACAATTATAATTATATATTGGATTCGATATTATTTTGCATCAATAAAAAGATATACCTGCTTCGTGACGAACCATAGGTTGCTGTTTATCATCTTTTAATATATCAATTAAAATAGATATTGCTAAAGGATCTTGCATTTGACCAAGACAATATGCAAGTTCATGTTTTAATAATGCAGATTTATCTTTAAAACCTTCACTTATTTGTTCAATAGCTATTGAACCTCCAATATTTTTTAAAGTAAATAATGCACGAAATCGTTCTTTAAGTGGTCTGTCTTCATCCTTTAATACATTACCTATAGCCACTATTTCTTTTTCACTAATATCTAGCATTTTTCTTCGGTAAATTAATATACTAGTGAATTATTATCAATTATTTATTAATGATTTAAAAACTATATAAGAAAAAATATAATATATGTATGATATTTTAATAACGCAATCAATTTAATTGAGAAATCATTTCTCTTTAATCATTTTTTATAAGTTTCGATTACTAAACATTTCACATATGCTTATAGTTTTAGAAAATCTTCGTTTTATTCACATGTGATATGATATGAACTTATACTAATCCAAAATTTTCTTAGAAATTTTAATTAACCTATGCAGTTTTTGCGGTAGAATATATGCTCTTATTGGTCACATTATCTCTGTGATGTAGATAGTGTTTTATAACATAACCTATAATTTTCTTAGAAGCATTTGCAAGTATATACTATAATGCAGCATAAGGAATGTTCATGTATTTGTTAGTTACAGGATATTGTATTAAATTGTTAAATTTTAATATTTTTAATTATTAACCATAATGGCTCAAACAAGAGTGGAAAAAGTCGGAACTATTTATACGAGGTAAGACCTCAAATTTTATTATAAATTAATCATTTTTATCCATAAACTTTTATTTACTTTTATTATTGTTATAGAATTTCATCATTAATATATGGAGGTGCAAAGGCTGAAACAGAAAAACCACTGTGGTATACCATATATGAAGCATTTCCACCCAAATATGAACCAAAATATGATAGAGTTGCACCATATATACCAATAAGACCGATCTATTATAAAGAAGACGTTATACGCGCGTAAGAAGTTATACAATATACAAACCACGGCTTTATTAAAAGCTCTTATTAATGTAATTTTAAATATTTCTATTTTATAGACGATTTCACAAGGATTGCAAAAATCTAGATCTAATAAACTTAAGTAATAAAAAGTATCCGTCACAAACAAAAAAATTTCTTGATACATATAATGAATTACGAATGGTAATTAGTATGGATAAAAATATTTTTGATTAACCCATCAAATAATTAATAAAGCATCTGGATTTAAATAATAAAATTTTGTTTATAGCTCAATTTGTCTGATGAGGCAGCTTATGAACAGGCACTAGAAAAATTTAATTTTAGTTCAGCAAATGTAGAAGATTAAAAACAATCAAAAAAACAAGAATAATATGTAATATGACATATAGACATTTTATTTTTAGTTAATATATAATACACTCATGGTATTTACTCTTTCATAAAAGGGAATAGTTAATCTTATTTGTAATAAATATGTATGCGTAATAAAATATATGAAACATAATGCATTGAATACAAATATGAATATGCATTAAATGAACATATAATTTTGTGTAGACACCTGTGTAATATCATAACTTGTGTTATGATATTAATTTATAATCTTATTAAAAGCATCAATATTCTTTAAATAAAAGAGACAAATAAAATGAGCCTTTCTATTGATATTACAACATATGATTATTTAAAAATGTAGACACAATGACAAGTATTAATTATGGTATAAATAATAAATTACATTATATGGTTAAATGCTTGAATGATGAAATTACATAAGAAAATATTTGCACCATTTTCTTGCCAAAATCCTATATCTATAAAAAATTTTTGCATTTATTGTTTTCTTTCATTAAATACAATGCAAAACATTAAAATTCCATTGAATAAGTTAATTTTAAGTAGTAGCATCTGCATATACTACATTTGCAATATAAACATTTTATATAAATAATAATGTAAATTGCTAATTACTGTAAACTGATTTATATCTTTAGATACATAATATTTAGACTCTTTGTATTTCAAATAATTTAACATCTGTATCATACCAAATAGGTGGTTCAACATTTCTAAGGTAAATTACTCCCCACATATAAGTTCTAAACCAAGCAGTCGTCCCAGCATTAGCTTGGTATCTTCTAATGAGAATAGGATGTGGAACTGGCAAAAGACCCACTAATGTACCATGTTGTAAAAATTTTAAAATTTCACTCTCATCTGTTAAACCCCTGTGAAGATTGGTTCACTTAATATATAGGTTTTATAGAAAATATATTAATGAATACATACTTGTCAATACATATTTTTTCTACTTGAGGAACAAGAACTTGCAATAATCGCATAATAGTTTGTAATGGAAGTTTACTTTTCCATTGATATACCCATTCACTAGAAGGAACCCACTGATTGGCATTGTTAGATATATTTGTCTGCTCAGCTACTCTGATTCCCCCTTTCTGAATGTGAATACATTATATATTACATATTGATATGTATAAATATTTATATACAAATATAAAAATATATGCATACTGGTATTATAGAATTTGATTTATTTGATGTAGCTGTATCAGTTGCGTTATCTAAAGAATTCTGAAGATTATTAGTTTTCCCAATATCTACATTCACTGAAGGACTTAATGGATGTGCTGATTCTTTTTCTGTCATTTTTTCTATACCTGCAAAGATTAAAAAAATGTATGTTTGGTACTTTTATTTATAGCTTTTTATAGATATGTATTACCTGGAGTTTCCAATAAAGAAGCTTTTAAAGTTCCTGGTTCTGCAGGCAGAGCGGGATGAGATCCTTCCATTGTAGTTTCACTAGTATTTTCATTATATGTACTTGTTGGTACATGTCGCTGTTGTCTTTTACTAAGAGACTTAGCAATTGTATTACAATCACTTGGTAAATTTGCTAATGCATAGAATACTTGTCTCTTACGTATTATTGTATAAACCAAATTACTATTTCCATCAAATTGATACTAACAATACAAATAATAGAGTTATTAAAAAACAGATATATACAAAATTCTTTTGTGTAATATATAGTAAAATTACCTGAATTATATTATTAAAAATTTCTAAAAGAAAAAATACTAAATGATGATTAGTAGGTGCAGAAAATAAGAACCATGGTGTACTAAATGCTTCGAGTAAATGTAATAATTTAGTGCTGGCCACCATAGAAAGAGTTTTAAGATAAGGAGAAACATTTACTAAAATTGTAAGAAGACAGTCAAACAATGGTTGTAATCTTTGATGTCCTGTTGTAATAATTTTATGAAAAACTGTTACTAGTAGATCAGCATGAGTGCCTATGTACAAAAAAGAATTAAATTTCAGTAGTTCTATATATTTTTTAAGTTTCAAGGGAATAGAATAGCTAGTTTACCTGTAAAAACTGGAATGTCCATAGGTACTGTAGCAGTATATGGTTTATTCAATCTAACTCCAAAATTACGTTCTCCACTTAACAGAAGCAAAATAAATACACCTATGTGCATCAACCCAACACGTGCTACAATATAAGATATTATCAACTAGATAGTAAATTTAATAATATAAATAATATAACACATAATAGTTATTAATATTTACATTGATCTGCACGAGAATCGTTGAGATGATAAAGTATGGGAACTAATACCTCAAGTACATCTGAACTTTTAAGTACATAATATAAAAATTTTTTATTATAATCACACATCTTCCAAAAGAATACTAATAATTCTTGATGAAAATGTACTTTCTTTGTTGAATTAGGTAGATATGTCTGCATTAATGGATTATTTAATAATCTTGTGATTCCTTTTAATACAAATTGAAAATCTGTAAAAAAGAAATACTTAATAAAAAATTTTGAATATTATAGAAAATAAATATATAAAACAATTCATAATAACTACCTTCATCACGATGAATACGACTCAAATAATTAATAAAAAGATTATCTCCAATAGAGCCCTCTTCCGCTGGAATCTCACCAGATGTATCATGATCTAAAGTGACTATAAGAATCTGTAAAGCAACATCCACTAGTGGCTCCAAAGAATCAGTAAATAAAAGGTGATTGTAAGGTACTCCTAGTCCAACTGGATCATAAGCACATACTGTATTTAAGAGTGATGTGAACATAGGCAAAGCATGTCTATGAGAAAAAAGTAATTATAAACACAAAATGTGTATAACAATCAAAATTATCAGACTCTCTAACATCATAATTCTTAAAGATTTTACCTATTTTCGGTACTAGTTAAGCGTTGAATCCATTTATTTGGTGTGATTGACAAATCCATTGGAGGATTGTACATGGTTTCACTAAAGCATGTCAATAACAATTTTAATAATTCTGTTCGATTTGAATCTAAAATTGAATATCTGGGTGGGGAATGTGCAAATCCTACTCCTGCTTCCCAAATATATTCGCAACTATCTATTGATTGCAATTCTTCTGCTTTATCCTATTAAAAAAGTTAATTTAGTAAATTAAAAATTAATATCTAATTGAGATGCAACGCACTTACAGGTCCTGACTTTCTATTGGCAGCTACTGTAAAATCTGGACAAAATAGTAGATCCTATAAGAAAATGTTTATTTATAATACCAGGAAAATAATGATACACATATTATTACATATTACACTTACTTATTAATATTTACTTACACAAAGTGCATTTAATAAAGAATGTGCTAATGGTATACTTTCTTCTTCTTCTTTTCCTGGTAAACTAGACCAAAAGAATCCTTTCCAATCAGGATCTTCAAAAATATAAGGTAATAATCGTGTAAGTAAACGGCAACAATTCAAAACTGTTTGATGTTCTCTTTGCGTTCTACAGCTATTATCAACAGCTTTAACCAATTTTTCTACTGCTTTATAACATAATGTCGCTAAATTGGATGGCGCTTCTTCTCTTAAAATTCGGATTTCAGAAGCTGGAATTAAGGTAAAGATGTCTTGCACATTGGTCACATTTTCAGACCAAAATTGATCCCAGAAAGTGTCATTAGATGCTTCAATCACCTATAATGCAGATACGTTTTAAATAAAAGGCAGTATATATATAAAAAGCATATAATTTTGTAACAATATCTACTTAAACATAAAAATGTTATTCTCTTTCTTGTTTACAAAAATACTTATCAAAATAAAAAGTAACATGTCTTATAATCGCTTGACATATTGAAACGTCAGATTATAATTTATTTCATATGAAAGATATTACGTGTTGTCACCTGAGTTTTAGAGGTTAATTGGACAACGGCTTTACGAAAATTCAATTTTGTATCAGCATTTCCCATAGTGTTGATGTATTATAAAATAATAACAGTTTTCGGCACTACAAGAAGAAATTAATCTACCTGTATACGTTGGACTATATCTGTATACTAACAGACTAAGCATGAAGAATTGTCGCCATGTTGCGACTACCATGCCGTCTAAACATGATTACTTAAACTAACTTTTTCAATTGTATAAATGAAGTATCAATTGATAATACAGAATTGTCAATATTATGTATGCCCAAATAATAATTTTAGTGTAAAATATTCCAAAAAAATTTCGACTATCGAAATTCATTAATATTTAAAACGATACTAAAATAAATTTGTGATACAATAAAGATTAATAATAATTGTAAATATATGTAAAATAAAGTTAAGATTTTTTATTATGATGTTATTTTTATTGTTTAATTACTTTCTGATATTACTTAAATTATTGTTAAATTATGTCGAATATAAACTTTAATGAAAATAGATAAAATATTATTTCTGGCTTATTCTATATCTCTGTATCCTATATCATCAATATATTTTTTACGGTATTTTCCTTGAACCCAAACTCTATACATTTTTAATTGTTTTCCTCGATTTACTTGTAATCTCCTGTCGACTAAATTTTGCTCTTCAATGAAACCATTACTAGTAAATAATGTTCTTACATCACCTAAAATAAATTAATATGACGAAATTAAATATTTAGATATGCCCAAATCTTTCCATAAAATTTTTTTTACCTTGTGTAAAAAAGTATACCCTAGTACCGTCTCCACGAACATAAAAATTTTCTGATAAACAACTACCTTTCTTAAATCTCAATTGTGTTAAATCATATCTTCCATAATCTCTAAACAGAACTAATCCTCCAGGTTTTAAATAGAGATTTATGTTTTTAATAACATGTTTCATCCTTCAAATGTGAAATAAGATAAAATTAATTTCAATATATATAAATGATATAAATTTCATCGACTTTAAATGCAGTAAAAATTATAGTCATTTTAACATACTTATCTGGATGTATAGCTGAAAGAACAAATATTAGGACAATTATGTAAAGACTTTCAGGTTCAAATGGTACTATCCATTCTTCTTGGGTTACATCAAGAACAAATGCTTTGCATCTATAAATAATTAAATATTAGTAAATGTGTAATATCTCGAATAATATAATATTTAATTAATTTGAATAATATTCTATGAACCTTGTTGTATCATAAGCCGGATTTTGTTGTAATATATCAATTGCTTTTGTAGAGAAATCACAACAATACACAAACAAGTTTGGATCTGTATTATATAAAAGTATTGGAAATACTGTATTTCCTACACCACAACCAATTTCTAAGATTTTATTTGAAGCTATACATGGTGTATTAAGAACATGTGTATATGTATCTTCATCGCTATTATGATCATTTGTGACAATAGCTCTCATTGGTTGCATATGGTTCTGTTTTACTGTATCAGGAGCTAATTCTGGAAATTCTGTGAGCAACCAATGTCTATCTTTAAAAAATCTAAAATATTATAAATAAATGATATTTTAATAAATCAATGCTAAATACAACACTTAGAAAAAATTGTTTGATATGTACCTATTATTGTGAATTCCATAAAATTTGTTCCAATATTTATCAGCTTCATTCTCATATTTCAATAATGTTTCCATTGATAATGTAACAATAGAATTATCATTTACTTTGATTTGGGCTAATTCTTCCTGTTCCTTATTCCAAACAACATTATCCCTTTAAAAATGCTATCATTATATATTCAAGTTTAGTAAGACTCAGAAGAATGAATACTATGTAACCAACATTAGATTGTATAAATAGAAATGTACATAATATGAAAAAATATTATTATAACAATATTTATAAATAAATAAAAAATATCCATAATATAATTACCATGCATTATGACAAAACACATCATCATCATTTGATAAAACGCGGTTTCCAAACTGAGGTCTTTTTTGTGTTAATTTTTCTTTATGTTTTACTTCTGATGTATCAGTCATGATTAAATGTTATAAATATGCAGTAATAATATGAAAAAATATTTATTTTCGTTATGTAATGTATTTTTACAAAAATTTACATAACATTATAATTTTTTATTTATAATATAATATGAATTTCTTTTATATTTCATATAATATCATGACATTACAGTTTTTTCTTAATAGATAGAAGTTGTTAAATCTAAATATTATAGTATATACTTCAACACACTAAATTGAACATATTGTCTTTCAGATTACAAATATGTCTACAATAGAATACAAAATGCAACGCCATCTTTATATTTTTGTTTCACTCAATTCTGAAAACTCTGGTATATAAGTATTTACAAAAATGAATATTTTTTATCTTTTGTTAATGTTCGAAAGTAAATAATTGTTAGTGCATAAATACACGTGTAATTCTCGATAATTATTACAACAAATGTAGGAGTTATTTATTTTTTGTGTTTCAGGACATTAATCAATAATGTTTTAAAAGACAAAATATAGTTATCTATTGTTTATCTCTGCCTTTTAAAATTTAATTTAACATTTATTACGAGACGTACATTTCATTTTGATGAAATTCTGTATCTAAAATTACAATATAATTATCTTAGTGTTAATATTTTTCTCTGTGTAATATCATTTTTTATTAAAAATGGAATAAAATTCATCGTTATTGGACATTAACGGTTATGGTAGCGCAATTTATTAACATTTAATTCATGATTTTTATGAATAGGTTAAGAAATTTCAAAGAGCGGCAACATGTTAAATATTACAAAAATAAGAAGACCTTTAATCATGGCTATATTCCCACTTAGAGATTTATTGGGAAAATATGATGTAGCTAAAAATCCAATTGTTAATCAAATAGAAGATACTCCTATGGGAAGGATAAGAAAAATATTTATTTCTACGTAAGACTTTTAACATTTTTCAAAATTATTGACAGTGGTTAATCAAGAGATATAAATTATTTATATACAATTATTATGTATAGTGAATATGAACCTATCAGCAAAGAACTGCAAAGTTTAATTAACTTCACCAGTACTGCAACTTTGGTTGGCATAGTGGTGGGTGGAGTAATATATACACAAGGAGCTTTACAAAAATTTATAGATAATAACGAAGCAACACGTTTTTATAATCAAATCGATGCACAACGAGCATTACAAACTAATATTACACTACAGTTCGCCAAGGGTGCTTATATGTTTAGCTGGAGATTAGCTCTTTTTTGTGGGATTTATGAGTAAAATTAATTATAATTACAAATTCATTTATGATATTTAATATGTTGTACCAATGAATTATTAATGAATTTATTTTAGATTTATTCGAATGATATTGACAGCATATTATGGGAAATCTTCAATTCTACATTATATGATTGGAGCTGGAATTGCTGGATTTTTATTTAAATTATCAATTGGTCTAAAAGGTTCATTAATTGGTCTAGTTACTGGTACTGTTCTTGGGGGTATTGGTGGTTTGATTATTTTGTTGTTCATTAAACTAACAGGGATGACACTAGAAGATTTTCAGCATATACAAAGTTACTGGTCTTATAAAAGAAATGAGTAAGTATTCAGTATCACAATTTTCTCTAAAACTTTGTTTGAATATTAATATTCAAATATTAAATTACCTATTAATTCAATAAATTATAATGATATCATGCTGATCTATATAAATATTTATTGCATTATGTTTATATATACTTACATTTAAATATATTTTTAATTTACATTAAAGAGCATTTAAACAAATAATGAGCAAATATTTAGAAGAGGAATCTGAAGAAATAAAGTTATTACACAAACAAAATAAAGATATGCAAATAGAATTATCTAGGACGAAAAAAGAAACCAACAACTAGATGAACAGAAATTATGTGTGGATATGTATAGAATATATTATATAAATATAATGTAACAATATTTTTAAATTGTCATACAATCATCATTAAAATTTAAATATATTATTGCAGTATATACAAAATATTCAACCCTTTAATCTATAGAGCAATAATGAGTTGAATAAATCGTAACTGATCATTATAAATCTTTGTTTTTATTTAATGCTTAATAAAATCAACATACTGTTAAGTAAATTCATATTTCGCTAAAAGCGTATCTCTTTACACGTCACATGTAGTATATTGGTATTATATGTAAATTATATATATTCAACAAATATTATTTTTAAAAAATTTGTTATGAAATATAATCATTAATTCAATAATAAAATAATATTGAATACAATAACTTTTTACATGATTTTGAAATAAATAAGTAAGGAGTATTAATTTACCGAGTTTCACTACTTACAGAATAGGCTTGATTTGATAAGATATGAAAGAATTACAAAGAAAAATCTTTTTTGCTTGACAAAATATAGATGAATATGATACTTATAGGCATTTTTCTTCATATTTCTATACAATGTCCAATCTTTATGAATACTTGTTTTAATACTAATACAATCTTATATTTGTAATTACTATCATACTATGACCCTGCTTATATTTAATACAAATAAGTATGTTATTAATTTATTCAAGTGTCTTGATCTAAGGTACCTAATTCCTGTACCTTGGTTATACGTTTGGCACCTCTGTTTGGTGGTCCCTTTGGTTTGGCAAATTTTGGCCGATGTAAACTGACTTTTGGATGTAATTCCTCTTGCAAAAATCCTTCAGTTAGTTCCTTTCCATCATCTATTTCAAGCTACATAAGTAACATTTAAAAATAATATTATTGTATAAAGTCATAATAAAAAAAATACATCCATTATATGATATAATTAAAATTTGTAAAGAGTATAAAGTCGGCCTATTCTGTAAGCGGAATTATATACGCGTGCCTTCAAATTTTAATAATACTAATTACATACCAGTTTGAAGATGCATCAGGTTGTGGTTGTTAGAAATCCAGTATAGTATATATATTTGGAAAAAAAAATTGAAATATTAAACTGTAGATTTATATTGCATGTTACTTTATTTCTATACCATATGTAATATTGGCAAGATATATAGTCTATTTTATCATGAAGAACCTATAGATATAATGTGTGAAATAATTAAAAAATAATAATATTAAAAACTTACAGAATAGGCCTGGTATATAGTAATATCGATAAAATTATATATCCAGGCAAAAGTGCGCATTGTATAAAGATCTAAAATAAAATATACATATCACCTGTTCAGAGGCTTATACAAATATCGATTTACTAGTTATAAATTTTGTAAAATTAAAATATGAGCCAAACTCTTTTTTAATATCCTCTGGAATGCAAATGGCACAGCATATGATTATTATTTATTTTATATAATTATGATTTAAATCCAATTTTTATTTTTCAATAAATATCAATTGTATTATATTTAAGAAATTAACATATGTACAATAAATTTTTCCTGTTATCTTTCCTATATAATTTAAATATGCTGTGAAATCTTTTATATTACTGTAATATCACTAAAACAAAAGGAAAATTAAAGAATTTGACTCACTCATTTAATTATGAACACGAAAATTTGGCCAAATTGTTGTAGCCATTTACTTATACCTTGGACGAAAATTGTTAAGATGTTTATAAAAAGCTACAAGAGATAAAAAAATACAGATCACAAAAAATAGAATGACTCTTGAATATTTTGTAGCTGCCTATGAAATTACAGTCACACCAGCTGTACATTATGTATTTATAACATTTGGAGATTCCTAAAAATATAGTATATATCAAATTTTTATATATTTGACTACATACTAATATAATATAAAATACCAATTTACTCGTTTTGGAGTTAAATAACAAAATATTTATTAGCATATACATATGCTAAATAAAAATTGTAATCATTGCAGATTTATAGCAAGTATTAATGATAGGCTCATGTTACAATGATATATATAAAAAAGAATCATGTATCCATTTTATTTTTATAAAACTAATTCTACAAAATGGATACAAAAAAATATTATATGTGCTTTATTCAAATTTGTTGTAGTTTAGATAATAAAAATACATTGTGCATACTTTATTTTATAGATGCATAATTGCAGTTTGTACGTTTTATGTTTATAACAGATCTATGACTATCAGAATTGAATTGAGTGCCTAAATAGGCAATATATGTATACTTGACTTAAAAACAAAATTGGAAAAATAATAGTTAACATTAATTTCAGCAACACAGCTGGTGGGACATGCTTATATCAGTCTTATTAATTACATGTATTTATGGAATTTAATATTCTGTGTCGTTTAGAAATAGTAGAGCGTATAATGTATACTAACATTGTATGTGATCATTTGTAAAGAAATCGTATTCATAGTATATGTCATTATTGATTTATGAAGCTGTCACTTTACTATTATTATGCTCAAAAGACACAGAGAAATTAGATGAGCAGCATCTGCTAACAAGAGCAATTGGAATTTACTCTCTAACTCTCTTATAATCATATATGATATATAGATTACCAAAAACATTTACAAAAATCATGATAACATATTTTACTAAGACCTATATGAAAGTTTTAATGAATTTGAAAGCCAAGCCTTAAAATTCCATTCATAAAAATTAAATTTATAATAATAAAGTAAGATTTATATATCTGCATGTATGTATGTGTGTATGTATACATATATACAGACACACACACACACACACTCGTATCACCATTTTTAGGACTAGGAACAAATCAAGACTTGATGTGTTAGAATTCCACATTTTCTAGGAATATGTAATAATAATGTATACAGTATATAGAACATAAAAATAAAATCACTATTAAAGGAACTATAAAGTGCAAAATCTTATTGCATTAAATTAATATCTTATACCAATATCTTTGATATTGCATTTCAATTTTTGTTTCATAAAACAATTATACTTTATTAAATCTTAAAGTGTTTAAATTTTAATATTAATTATTGAATATTTGAATATTTCATTGAAGGCTTAACTTTCAACAACATTAAACCACATTAAGCAGTCATATTTAAATATATAATGTAATATTAAATGAATGATAATTCATACACCTTTCATAAGTCAACAAGAATTTTACGTTATGAAAATTTTCATCATTGATTCTCCTAGTGATGGGACATTAATGTATAGTATTGTACATGTTTAACAAGAGCAAAATAATAATTATGCAATCTAAACATTTCTTAAATATTATTTAAATTTTTTACGATAG